CACATCGTTACGAATTCTCTAACACCCCAACCCCACCCCCCACATTTTTTTTTCTCTAGATGCGTTACTTATTATGAATGGTCCCTACCTAAGCCTACTTTAAATAGCATTGTCTTAAAATTTCAAGAAATATTATTGCGCTAATTAATATCATAAAAAAATATTAAGTTAACTTTCAGTTTATCTAAATAAATTACAAATTTTATTATTTTTTATCTATATCTTTTACAACTTGAGTTTTTCAAATATTTTTACTTGGTTCAGTGTTAATCTGTTTTTTTTAAATGTATTGACATATTTTATCTTTATTATAAGATAAAGAACGCTATGCAGTGCTTTCAGTGCCTTAAAAATATTACGAGTAGGCTTTGTCCGAGCAATCTCTACCCCCTAAAACGTAACACTTCTTCCCTTATCGCTTCTCCAGATGACTGTACCTTTAGATGGTTTTCACGAGGCTGAGGCCCAGAAGAAAAAGCGTTTCAACAAGAGGGGAATAGTGTACGCTATATATGTGGACATGACTGCTCGAGTAGTTTTCCCGATCTGCTTCATCATCTTCATCATGAGCTATTGGCTCTACTATGTTAATGCTGAATGACTTTAGGCCCTGTGTTTAGCTCTGTGTCTACAGCAAGTAGTGTATAATTTCAAGGCAATGATGTCTACAGCAAGTAGTGTATTTCGAGGCAATGATGTCGACAGCAAGTAGTGTATTTCGAGGCAGTGATGTCTACAGCAAGTAGTGTATTTCGAGGCAATGATGTCGACAGCAATTAGTGTATTTCAAGGCAATGATGTCTACAGCAAGTAGTGTATTTCGAGGCAGTGATGTCTACAGCAAGTAGTGTATTTTGAGGCAGTGATGTCTACAGCAAGTAGTGTATTTATTCAAGGGATTGAAGTTCCATGTCCCATGTCACAGCTCATTTAAAAAAAAAAAAGATTCTCTCTGGTGATAATCTGATGACGATGTTGGTGATACTCTTGTTTACAATCTAAGTTTGTAAAGATTGTTTATGTTTAAGAGCCATATAGTAAATGTGTCTACACGACATGAGTGTCACTTTTTTTTTTTTCTTACACATTTCTCAAAAAATTTGATTTGCCTGATCTGCTGATTTCTCTAATCGTATATTCAATTTCCACAGAACTAGAAATATTTAGATTCAAATGAAAAACTGTATTACCAAAAATGTGAAGTATTACATTTTTTTTCAAAAAACAATTTTAATAATGTTGCAGCTGAGTCAAGGTGGAATAAATAATTTTAATATGTGTTTTATAGTTCCCTCTTGTGCTCTCTTTTTTTCACTAATAATTGTTCATAAATGATCTTATGCAAATTTTCACAAGTAGCACAAAGGTTCCATAAGTTGAAAACCTATTTAAAACAAATACATGGGGATTGTAAATTGTACAATTTCTAATAGCTAAAAATTCTAACCGTAGTTATATATGGATCAAAATGTTCATGTTTATTACATATTATTTGACGCTATATTTTTTTTTATACGTTAATTATTATTTGAAAAATTAAAAATTTTAAAAATATTTCAAACACATTTTCACAAAATTTGGTCACATCAACTTTTTATTTTTCAAACATGGGCGCAAAAGACAATTTATTTTCTAATTTCTTTTTCTTTATTTAATTTTTGGGGGGTGTTTTTTGTTTAACTATTGATGAAAGCAGCAATTACGTAGTCAATATTTTTGTGAAAGGGGATATTTGAATGCTGGTAGACTTTCAATTCTATACACCATTTCTTTCGATTAATAGTATTATTATTGTTGTGATATAAAAGAAAGCCTGCTGAGAGGATGTGGTTAAATAGTTTTAAAAAATGTAAAAAGACATTGTCTACGCCACTGAAAAAGAAGCAAGTGTGCCAAGTTTAGATGGACTTTCAAACAAAAATAAAACGTGTAAATTAATGGCCTAAACATGTAAATAGAATATGTTTCTTGTTTTCAACTCAATTTGTGATATAAATGAGTTCACTGTGTTTGATTCAATCACGCCAATTACATGTAGACCAGTTGATAAATCAGTTTCCTGTGTTTTCTGTTGAGCCCAGCTTACTGATCTCATGATCAACTTCAAACGAATTCAATTTGATTATATAATTTTCTTACCGAATCACACTAGATTTTAGATTAAATTATACTTTTTTTTCCTATCCCACCTTTTAAAAAATGTTTTTTCCTTTCGTCTGAGAAATTTTTCAAGGGAAAGAAAACATGCTTAAAATCCAATATCTTTTTATATATCCGTACCTTAAAAACAATTGTAATCCCAACCATAACGAAAATAACCCTGATGATTACTAATCTATTCCCCCCCCCCCCCCCCC